AAACTGTCAAAGAGCTTTAGAGCATCGTGAATATATTTATCAGATTCAGAGTTATTGCTAACAAAGAGTCGCAACCAGTTTTGTTCCTCGAGAATTCAGATATAGAATTTTAGGTATAAGTTTTGATTATTGATATTAAGTCTAGGTGCCGTTTTGGTTGATTAAATTAGTACACATAACCATTTGATTAAACATTATTCAGATTTTTTGTGGCATTTAGTTTTAAAGGTTATTAATTAGAAAAATATTATATCGATGTTAATTGTTTATTTATGATGGAGTTGTTTGGTAACTATAACGAGAATCATGTTTTTATTTTTAGTAAACCCATTAATAAATTAATATACTAGAGTTGTTTATTTTCGGAATTAAAAGGTCAATCTATAAACCTTTTTATTAATGACTTGTAAATTGTAACAGAGGTTTATCAAATTTATCTTCTATAAGACTATAACATTCAAACATTCATAGGGAAGTACCACAAGTGTGCCTTATTGAAACTGTCTTCCCGATTTTTATGAGGGTGTCGTTCCCTCTTCGTAAAATTCTTAGTTTCGAGTAAAGTCAATTTGGGCGTAACATATTTATAGGTATGCTTCTTTGTGGGTTTCGTCTCTTATTTTAACCATTTTTTGATTTCATCCTTCAGCGACTTCATGTGCCCCTTGCATGAGGAGTTTTAAAAAAAAAAAGAATATATGGCTAGAATTTGATAATCCAAATAAGTCGTATGAAGGTATAAGGAACTAAACAGAGTTTCTAAAAATGGCTAATGCAAACTAGGTCACGTTCGATATCCCATATTAGGCCATGGGGTATGGTTACAATGTGTTTACTAGAAAAGTGATACCACGTATGTGTCACATTACCCACCACTATATGTTCACCACATATTCATTAGTCTTGGAAATGGTTATCACTAGACAATGTTTTTTTTTTTTTTTTTTTTTTTTTTTTTTTTTTTTTATTTTTTAAATATATTTAGATTAAAATTAAAAAAAAAAACTAAATTAATAACATAATTAGATATTTCACGTTATATAAAAACATAAAACATAAAGTTTCAAATCTAGATTCCGAATAATCATAAAAAATAAAACTTAAAACCTAAATAACAAAAATCCATAGATAAACATAAATATTAAAAACGTTAAAACCTAAAATCCATGCTTTTCCCAAACTTCTTTTTGGATTTTCAGAAACACTGCTAAATTTTCCGGGTCGATATCTGGTTGCGGCTTCATGTTTAAAATTTGAAGATCGGTGAGTACTTAGAGTTTTGTCAATTTTGTCCACAAGCACGTCTTCGTTAATCGCTTTTTCGCTTGAAGACGCCGCTTTTTTCCCTTTATCCCTTCCCGGAGGCCGACGAAGTTGGACTTCCGGTGGACCCTCCCCTTCGGTCCCATCGAAGTTGTCATTGAGGTCGACAGTAAAACCCACATCAGATTGTGAAGTTCTTGGCCTTTTGTTGGAGCCGATGGTCGATTCCAAATGCGAAGTCTCCGGGTTAAGGACCCATTTTGGACCCTTATGACAAATTTCCCACGCTTTTTGGTGGCCGAACGCTTTACCGTCGGTGGTAACTTTGAATTGTTGGCATGTGGTTGATAACATATTCAAATTGTTGCTACCACTTTTATGCATATTTTTCATATTTTCAAATATGTCGTTAAACTTGGTGCATGCCGCTCGTAGTTCACGCCATTTTCCGTTGACCGTGTCGTGCATTCGACCCGTTTGCCTTCCCAAAAGCGAGTGAAAGTGATCTAAAACACGAACCCCAAAACTGGTTCCGTTTGCGCGTTGCTCGTCCTTGAGACACACGATATAGAAATCCAAGTTTTAGCTAAAGTTTCCTCCTCCTCTTCGATCCAAGTTGTTCCTCTTCTATTTGTAGCTTTTCCTTTTTATTTCCTACGCCTAGATGGTTGTGTTTCTTCGACCCGATCGTCCTCGTCGTTGTCCAAGTTTATAGTTGGGGATTGAGAACAAGGGACTTAAGATGGTTGTGTTTGGAATTGTTGAGATGGTTGTGTTTGGAATTGTTGGGGTCGAAATTGTTGAAAACCTTGGAATTGGGATTGTGGTAATTATTGTTGGAAGTAGTTTGGTTGAAATGGAATGTTAGTAAATAGAGATTGATGTTGGATTGGGGATGTTAGCATTTGAATGTAACCTTGATATTGATCATTTGGAGTGGTTGGGGTTTTTTGGGTGTTTGGAGTGGTAGAGGTATTTTAATTTTGCTTTATATTTTTGAGAGATAATGAGATAGTAGAGAGATATTATTTGTAGAGAGAGATATGTTTTGTGTGTTTATATGTTTGTGTATATATAGTAGAGGAAATACATTGAATTTTTTTTAATTCACCAAACGGTCAAAAAAGAACGATAAAAAACCTTCAGCCAATCACAATTCACGTAACCGTCCATGATACCCATCAATCCGCGTCACATTCACCGGTAGGGGGGCGGTGTTCACGCGTGAATACCCCCTACACGTCATCCCTTACGCGTCAAAACATACCCCATACCCCATGGCCTTAGCGAAAACTTTTGAATAAACGAGTGAATACTTACTTTTTGAGATATCATGTCCTTCAACAAACTCTAAAATAGTTTGTTCTTGGTCTCTTCACCTTATCCCTAAAAGAGAAGTTCATTATATGAATAGGGAAAAGTTTGGACAATAAGATCGTAATTCATGATCAATTCTTCACATGCTTGGTGGTTATTTGTGTTAATTTTGAAAATTTTGATTATTTTATAGGGTTTTTGCTATAAAAGCCCATAATTTTACACAAAATGTTTGGTTATACCCAAAGTCAGATTTTTGGTGCATTAATGCCTCAATTACCGTAAAATATGTTCAGTTTTGAACTCTAACCGCTTTTTACCTTCTAAAGTCGGTTACCCGTTTGTTGACTTGGAAGAGATGTTGACTTTAAGCACGTCAGCATTGCTGATTTCCTTCCTCAAGAGAAAATAAAAATAAACAGAAGAAAGGAGCTGGTGGCTTTCAAACCCACAACCCTCCGACTCCGAATGCAACACTCCTACCACTAGGCTGAGATGATTTTTGGTTCTTATATTCTAATAGAAATTATTTAATGTCTATTACACAAACGTCTACTACACAACAACAATTTAATAATATTATTATTATTATTATTATTATTATTATTATTATTATTATTACTATTATTATTAAAATACATTTTTAAACGTATAAAAGATGTATTTATATATTTAAAATCGTATTCGTACATTTAGAAATATGTATTATTATTATTATTATTATTATTATTATTATTATTTTATGAATTTATACATACATTTTATATGTTTATATATGTTTTTATACGTATGAATAATTTTATATGTATGAAAAAAGTTTTTATATGTATATTATTATAATATTATTATATGTATTGAAAAAACATATTTATATATTTAAAATCATATTTATGTGTATTAAAAATGTTTTTATATGATAAATATTTTTTTATATGTTTATATATGTTTTGAAAAAAGTTTTTATATGTATACTATTATTATGTGTATTCTATATATAATCATATTTATTTGTATATATAGGTATTTATGTGTATGAAAAGAAATTAAGGAATGAAGATTACGGTGGTTTGGATATTTTTTTAATATACATAAATACGTATATATATACAAATAAATATGATTATATATATATATATATATATATATATATATATATATATATATATATATATAATAATAAATAAATAAATAAATAAATAATAAATAACCTACGTGACATCTATTAAGTACAATATTTCAGGATAAGTTTTCAAGAAACCTATTTGATTTGATGGTGAAGATCTTTTGTTTTATAAGGAGGAGACTTGGGTTCGAAACCCCCTAGCTCCAATTTTCCTTCCATAAGTGTTTTTTCCTAACAATGTCAACAACGCTTATGTGGCTTGCCATGTAAAATTTGACTTAACAATCTCACCCAATCAGCTAAAGGATCTCCAATTTTCCTTCCATGAGTGTTTTTTCCTAACAATGCCAACAATGCTTACGTGGCTTGCCATGTAATATCTTACTCAACAATCTTGCCCAATCAGCTAAAGGGTGACCGGGTAACTAAGGTAAAATCCAATTGTGGGGTAAAAATGAACCAATTTTCCCGTATGTTGGGGTTTTATCGCACCAAAAAACTCACTTAGGACATAACCAAACATTTTGTGTAAAATTGGAGACTTTTATGACAAAAAACCCTATGTTATAATATGAGCTCCTCTACAAATAAAAAAAAAGTTTAAAATAAAGCAATTACCAACACATGCGATAATATTTCCACCTTTCTGTTGCTTCACGTCCTCTTTAGTTATAAATATCCTCAAATGGTCTAGGCGAGCCAGAAAAAATGATCTTTATTGTTATTATAAATTTTTTTATTTTTGTATGAGTATAGATTCATATATAATATAATAAAAAAATTGAGCCAAAAAAAAAAAGTTAAGCACTGTATAGTTGCCCACTTTTTGATCGACTTTCCAAAAAACGCAAAAAGTGAAGCTTAAGATGAGTTTTGTTTAAGGGTTCTTTGCTAATTTTTATATAAAAATATTCAAATGTTATTTTTTATTTGGTCAACATTCAATTCAGTGTGTTTTATACATTTTTGATACCATATTTGAATAAGTAACTTCATTATTTTAACCATTAATATGTATGGTTTTTAATTAAATAACCATAAATAAGCAAGGTAGCCTAGCTCATTTGATAGAGGGTTTACTTCTTAGTATGGTGATCTCAAATTTTAACTCTTAAATAATTTTGTAATACTAACTTGTAATTACTAACCCCATCGTTAAAAAAAAAAAAAAAAAAAAAAAAAAAAAAAAAAAAACCACTAAATAAGTAAAAGTATCAAGTTTTTGTGACTCTATTGTAAATTTTAAAACTTATGTGGTCGAAATAACATTATTAAAATCCAATATATAAAAACAAAACCACATCGGTGCCCAAATTTGCAGAAATCACAGGGAGTTAGCTGCCGCCGCATTACCCATGACGAGGAAAGGAAGTAGGCCGCCGGTGAAGTCGTCGCTGTTCGAAAGAGTCCTACGCCGCCGGGTACAAGAAACCTACGGTAACGCCACTCCATCTGTTGGCGAACTTGTCGACCGCCTCCGCGCCAATTTTCCCGAATACGGCCGCCACAAGATACAACCTTTCACCAGAATGGTGACACAAACCCTAGATTCCAACGACAGCAAAGGAAAGCAGAAATCAACAAGAAAGAATGAAGATTACAATTCTAAATTCAATTACGACGATGAAGATGATAGCACGTCTCCATCGTTACGCAGCCCTGTAAGCAAGAAAGCAAAGAAAATTGATAGTAGAGAGCAGAGACTGCAGATGCTTGAGAAGAAGCACGTTTCACAAAGACGAATTAAGCTGCAATCAGAGTCATCATCCTCGGAATCGGAATCGGATGACGGAGAAGAAGATAGAAGTGCCGTTTCCTCGTCTGAAGATGATGTCTATAGCCTGCAATTTGACCCGGAGTTTGATATAACGAAGTCTATGCTCCGAAACAAGTACAGCGGGTCAAAACTCGATGGAAAAGTCGACGGGAAACCTCAAAATATTGAGTTAGAAGTGGTCACGAATAGCAACAACAAGGAGACTAGAAAGGTTGATTTGATGAAGGAAGATCAAGGTGGTAAGTTAAAAGCAAAGGCACAAAAACCGAACAACTTATCAAACGAAGATGTTGATGCTAATGGGAAAGAAGATGGGCCAAGGTTTAAGGACCTTGGAGGTATGGATGTTGTGTTGGATGAATTGAAAATGGAGGTGATTGTTCCTTTATTCCATCCAGAGTTACCTCGAAGGCTTGGAGTTAGGCCAATGGCTGGCATTTTGTTACATGGGCCACCAGGGTGTGGAAAGACTAAACTAGCTCACGCCATTGCTAATGAGACTGGAGTTCCATTCTATAAGATTTCAGCCACTGAGTTGGTCTCTGGTATATCAGGTAGCGTCTATTTTCTTTACTTGAATTCTGTACCTTTAAGCCTGCAATCTTACCTTTTTCTTTTCAACCATGTTCACTATCATAGAGCATCATTGTAGAGAATTAGGTAACTAGAACTATCAATACTTCTTATTCTATTGCAAGAATTTCAGGTGCATCAGAGGAAAACATACGAGAGCTATTTTCAAAAGCATACAGAACAGCACCTTCCATAGTTTTCATCGATGAAATCGATGCAATCGCTTCAAAAAGAGAAAATCTCCAAAGAGAAATGGAACGCAGGATAGTGACACAATTAATGACATGCATGGATGAATCCCACAGAGTCACAAAACCAGATGACACCTCAAAGAATCTAGAACCTTCCAATAACAAACCAGGATACGTCTTAGTAATCGGAGCCACCAACAGACCCGATGCTGTGGACCCCGCGTTAAGAAGGCCCGGAAGATTCGACCGTGAGATCAGTCTAGGTGTCCCTGACGAAAACGCAAGAATCAAGATTCTTGAAGTTCTTACACGTGATTTGAAACGTGAAGATGCTTTTGATCTTGTGAAAATTGCTAGGGCAACTCCGGGTTTTGTTGGTGCTGATCTGGCAGCTTTGGTGAATAAAGCTGGGAATCTTGCTATGAAGAGAATCATAGATGGAAGAAAATCGGAGCTTTCTAAAGAAAGTGAAGAAGAAAGTGAAGATTGGTGGAGGAAGGAGTGGACTGTTGAGGAAATGGAGAAGCTTTGTATAACAATGTTGGATTTTGAGGTAGCTGCTAAACAGGTTCAACCTTCTTCTAGAAGAGAAGGGTTTTCTAGCATTCCAAATGTTAAATGGGAAGATGTTGGAGGTCTTGATATTTTGAGAAGGGAGTTTGATCGTTATATAGTTAGGCGTATTAAATATCCTGATGAGTATGAGGTAAGTGAAATCTTTGCCAATTATGTCATTACTCTTATTCATTCCTAAAAAAGTAAAATAGTTTTTGTTCATAACTTGATACAACAACTTATGTTTTCAGGAATATGGAGTTGATTTGGAGACTGGGTTTTTGCTATATGGACCACCTGGTTGTGGAAAAACGTTAATTGCCAAAGCTGTTGCTAATGAAGCAGGAGCAAATTTCATACACATTAAGGTTTTTTCTTTTTACTGATTTTACACGATATTTTACTCACGTGACAATTTCATTTAAAATTAATGATTTTTTTTTATTGGTGAAGGGTCCTGAGCTTTTGAACAAATATGTTGGGGAGAGTGAATTGGCAGTTAGGACAATATTTAGTCGTGCAAGGACATGTTCTCCATGCATACTGTTCTTTGATGAGGTTTTCTTTTTTGAAATTTTTTTAATGATTAAATTGGGATTTGAAAACTGAGATGGATGATTTAAGCTTTGATAGCTAAGTTTTTGGGATTAATGCTGATGCTTTGTTTGTTGCAGATAGATGCTCTGACAACAAAGCGTGGAAAGGAAGGGGGATGGGTTGTTGAGCGACTTCTGAATCAGGTTAGCAAATTTTGTTTATTGCATGAATAAAGATTCTTTCTCTTCTGGACTGAAAAATGACCATTTTACCCTTTTGTTACTTTACCCTTACAAGACATAACGGAAAAAAACTGCCTTTGTAACCTAGAGAGATAAAAGCTCTTTTCTTTTTGCAGCTATTGATAGAGCTAGATGGTGCTGACCAACGCAAGGGCGTTTACGTAATTGGTGCCACCAACAGGTGCAACACATCATCTTTTTTTTTTTTGATAAATTACTTTATTCATGACAAATGATTATAATTATTGAATTTTTTTTTTCTTAAAATGATTGTAGGCCCGAGGTGATGGATAGAGCAGTGTTAAGGCCAGGAAGATTTGGGAAACTTATGTATGTGCCTCTGCCAAATGCAGATGAACGTGGGTTGATCTTAAAAGCTGTTTCTAGAAAGAAACCACTAGATGATGACGTGGACTTGATTGCTATTGGTCGAAGTGAGGCTTGTGCAAATTTAAGTGGAGCTGATCTTTCCTCATTGGTTCGTATCTATTTCCTTGTGGATTTTATAATGTTTTTGGTTCATTTAACTATTTAGTTTGAAACAAACAGGTAGTAATGATCATTTAGCTTTTATCAAAAAAAAAATAGTTAAGAAATAAAATTTGTCAAAAATTTCAGATGAACGAAGCTGCCATGGCTGCAGTTGAAGAGAAATTCAAGAAAATCGAAGCTGCAAAAGCTAGTGATGAACCACAAAGCTCATTAGGTGGCTTGCCACATACTATTAAAGCCATACATTTTGAGCAAGCATTGGGAAAAATCTCACCTTCTGTCTCAGATAAGGTATATGATTTGGCTTGTAAATCATGCATTGGAAGTTGTACCTTGCTCTTGGAAGCCTGTAACATGAAGAGAGATCTACTTCTAATATTTATGTTTTTTGTTGCAGCAAAAACAGTATTACCATCTACTATCAGAGAGCTTCAACGCATCTTAACTGTGGATTGTTTATGGTTTTGTTGCATTTTTTTTTTTCAGAGTTATTGCCAAAAACGAGTGGCATCCAGTTTTGTTCCTTCAAATATATAATTTTTATCTATTATTTGTTTTACTCCATTGAATTTCGGTGATTGATATGACCAGTGTAGTTTGGTTGATTAGATTTGTAAGTTATGTGTAGAAGAGCTTAAATGGTGTTGCAATTTGTGATCAGTTAGATATCTTCTGGACTCTTTAAAGTATTATTTTATTTTTACGGGTTTAACAACATATGTACCACTTGATTCTACCTTACACCCATTTTTTTGGCGTTTTTCTCATGTTTTAAAGGTTGTTAACCAAAAAATTATTTGTTTTAATTGCGATCATCTCTTTGCAACGGTGGTGAAAATTATGAGGGATGTATTAAAATTGATGTGTGAAAGATGGAAGTTTGTGGGGTTAGCTAGGGTGGTGGGTAGTTGCCGGCAGTCAAGGTGATTCCTGATGGTGGTTGCTTGCGGTTGTTCCTAAAATAGAGATGAGAGAATAGACAGAGGATGATATAATGTTTCAGCTTCATGTGGCCTAAGGGTATGGTTTGAGAAGGCATGTCCAATGACCTTTCTTATATTCTATCCTTTCTGTTTCCTGCAAAACTTTTTGTGGCCTCGTGATATATATACCGGAATGTCTAAGGCGTTGGGTGGGATAGGGGAATGGCGGGTATGGGAGTGGGGCCATACAGTTTTGATATTAATGTAAAAATTAATATATATATATATATATATATATATATATATATATATATATATAATATATATATATATATATATGCTTACACTTTTCAGAAAAAGTAATATAGTTATTTGCTTTTGGTCATAATGTGGTTTAACTTGAACAACTAGTAGGTTGTTAAATTTTGTTAGAATGATAATTTTACCTTCAAATCAATAGAACTATTTGCTTTTTAATTTATTGGATTATCATTTTTAATAAATTTTATTTTTAATATTATTAAAAATAAAACATAATTTTTTGTGTATATATGCATATATGCACATTTAAATAAAACATCATTTTTTATATGTTTTTGTATTTATTTTTCATGGGTTTGAATTTGTGTTTAAAAACAACATATATATATATATATATATATATATATATATATATATATATATATATATATATATATATATATATATAACATCATAAATAGTCCTTGTGGTTTTCCAAAATCTGAAATTTAATCCCTATGGTTTAAAAACATCATAGAAGGTCCGTGTGCTTTCAAAACTTTTGACGATTGGTCCTTATTGCTGATTTCGTTAAGTTTTGTTCGTTAACTAAAGAGCATTTTCATCATTTCGTTACCATAAGGACTATTTATGATGTTTTTTATTATTTTTCTGAAAAAAAAAAAATGAAATTTAATATGTAAGGGATCCCCCTCTCTCTCCATCAGCCCATCATCATTCCTTCTTCCTCCACTCATTCCATCGTCTAAATGGAAAAGAATACCATCGAAGCAGACAACAATTTCGCCAGTTACATATTCACAACTTAATCGGATCATTACTATTTTTCCCCAAAATCAGAATCAATATAGGAGGCGGAAGAATTACGACAAGGGTGGAGAGAAACCTGAAACGGACCCAATTAAGAATCAGTGATGAAAGCTCCAAAAATAGAGAGACCATTTGAAAGTTCTAACTAGATAGAGAGTATGCTTGTTCCAATTACAACTTTTATGTGATAAACCTCCATGAGATAGAATATGATGTTCGGCAACAATCCATAGATCGCTACTCTCTTGAATGCTTCATTCAATGCCCTCAAAACCAAAATTAAAACCCTAATTACTACAACTAAGATGCATTTTTATACGAGCTAATGAAAACTGATTAAGTTTTCTATGAATCCGTGTACATGGTACATATAAGGATGGAAGAATTTAGGGATTTTGAAGTACCTTTGATGAATGACATGATATGATCCAAGTGCCTTTTAGTGGGTCTCGATTCTCGATTTATCCATGAACTTAAATTGAAAAAACAAGTGAGGAACAAGAATCCCTCATCTCTATACTCCTTCTGCTTGAATCGATCAACCACTCATTCTGAATCAATCATCAAGCTTGCAGCAACCTCACGAAAAAAAACGAAGCACCCTCACCCCTTAATTCTGATTCACATAACCTGTAGGTTTCGATTTTAAAAAACACTTCCTTGAAGGTGGGTTTCGTTTCCTTGAATGCTTGGGTTGGATTTCGATTTCATAAGTAATGAAAGAGATGAAATCGATGGTACTTTATGATGTTGATGTGGATATAGAAAAAATGATTAAGGTAATACACCTTCCTTAATCAAAGAATCGATTTACTATGCGTCTATCTTCCTTTTTCTTTCTACTTCTTAAGGTAGCGAATTGGAAAAAGAATTAAAGAAGACGATCTAGAGCAGATGGAGGCGTGCAAGTGGATTGAGAGAGAGAGAGAGAAAGAGAGAGAGAGGTGGGACATTATATATATATATATATTAAATAATAATATTTAATTTAAAAAAACAAAAAAAAAACATCATAGCCCATGTGGTATTGAAATGACGAAAACATCATTTATTTAACATTGAAAACTTAATGGACTCAACAATAAGGACCAATCGTCAAAAGTTTTGAAAACACAAAGAACATCTATGATGTTTTTAAGCTATTGGAACTAAACTTTAGATTTTGGGAAACCACAATGACCATTTATGATATATATATATATATATATATATATATATATGTGTGTGTGTGTGTGCGCGTTTTTTCCATCACTTTTTCGTGTTTTTTGCTTTTTTTTTTTTTTGTTTATAGCATTTATTTTTCACTATTTTGTATGTGAGTTTTTGCATTTTTTCAAACTATAGGGACTACTAATGTAACTTACTCTAGACTTTGTTGACAAACCCCACCTCATACAGGTCCTAATCCGAATTCCGACATGCCGATGACGGTGCGAGGACTTAAAAAGAGATTCAGAAAGCGGCTAATGCAAATTGTGTCGCACTCGATATCCCCTAACTGTTAGACTAGCTGTTTTGTTCGATTAAAAGCATTCGATACAGAAACTAATTTCATCGTCGTCACTGGAGGAAGTCAAGGCGATGGAAACTCCGGTATCATAGCTGTAAACATTCTTTCAGTTTCTAATTTCGATTGCATATGCTTTACAATCTATATAATGGTTCTGCTCCTTGATTGTTACGAAAGACGCACTAGCTGTTTGTTTATATTCCCAAGATAGTTTTCATTATCGTCTAGGTTTTTAGTTCATATGCTTCGATTTGTGGGGTTTGAAATTGATATAGTAATACAACTTCCTGATAAATTTCGGTTAATTTGTCGCACTTTTAGCAATTAAAGATCAACTTTTGATGTTGGATTTATGTCATATGCACAGCATGCTCATCATTTGTGGGTAGATGAGAAACAAAGTGATGTCTTAGATCCATCCCTTGTCAACGATCATCCAGCACTCAGGTTTGTAAATTGTAATGCCTCTTTACTTAATAGCTTATCATTTTTATCGGATTGTTTTCATATGTCACCAAAAATTATGCTGATTAGTCATTAGTCTCTACTTGGAAAGGTGTCAAGTTGAATTAAACTTGTTCGACTCTGCTTCATTTTATATTT